AGGCGTTATGACAGGGTGGATAGGGGGGCAATGTGGCAGATGTTGCAGGTGTATGGTGTAGGAGGTAGGTTACTGAAAGCAGTGAAGAGTTTTTACGAGGATAGTGAGGCTCAAGTTAGAGTAATAGGAAAGAGGGAAATTATTTCCCAGTAAAAGTAGGCCTTAGACAAGGATGTGTGATGTCACCGTGGTTGTTTTAATATATTTATAGATGGGGTTGTAAGAGAAGTAAATGCGAGGGTCTTGACAAGAGGCGTGGAGTTAAAAGATAAAGAACACACATAAAGTGGGAGTTGTCACAGTTTGCTCTTTGCTGATGACACTGTGCTCTTGGGAGATTCTGAGAGAAGTTGCAGAGATTGGTGGATGAATTTGGTAGGGTGTGCAAAAGAAGAAAATTAAAGTGAATACAGGAAAGAGTATGGTTATGAGGATAACAAAATATTAGGTGATGAAAGATTGGATATCAGATTGGAGGGGGGAGAGTATGGAGGAGGTGAATGTATTCAGATATTTGGGAGTGGACGTGTCAGCGGATGGGTCTATGAAGGATGAGGTGAATCATAGAATTGGTGAGGGGAAAAGGGTGAGTGGTGCACTTAGGAGTCTGTGGAGACAAAGAACTTTGTCCTTGGAGGCAAAAAGGGGAATGTATGAGAGTATAGTTTTTCCAAAACTCTTTATGGGTGTGAAGCATGGGTGATGAATGTTGCGTGAGGAGAAGGCTGGAGGCAGTGGAGATGTCATGTCTGAGGGAATGTGTGGTGTGAATATAATGCAGAGAATTGTTTGTTTTGGAAATTGGAGGAGGTGCGGGATTACCAAACTGTTGTCCAGAGGGCTGAGGAAGGGTTGTTGAGGTGGTTCAGACATGAAGAGAGAATGGAGCGAAACAGAATGATTCAAAAGTGTATCAGTCTGTAGTGGAAGGAAGGTGGGGTAGGGGTTGGCCTAGGAAAGGGTTGGAGGGGGGGGGTAAAAGGGGTTTTGGGGGCGAGGGGCTTGGACTTCCAGCAGGCGTGTGTGAGCGTGTTTGATAGGAGTGAATGGAGACGAATGGTTTTTAATACTTGACGTGCTGTTGGAGTGTGAGCAAAGTAACATTTATGAAGGGGTTCAGGGAAACCGGCAGGCCGGACTTGAGTCCTGGAGATGGGAAATACAGTGCCTGCACTCTGAAGGAGGGGTGTTAATGTTGCAGTTTAAAAACTGTAGTGTAAAGCACCCTTCTGGCAAGACAGTGATGGAGTGAATGATGGTGAAAGTTTTTCTTTTTCGGGCCACCCTGCCTTGGTGGGAATCGGCCAGTGTGATAATAGATAATAATTATAGAAATAGAGGTGATTATGATTGGTTTTACTATGAAAAGGACAATGAAATGGAGCTCAAAGTAGGGGAAATGTTTAATTTTTGCAGATGTTCAAGAGTAAACAAATGATGTCAGTGTCCAATAAATATCTAACTAGCCATTTTAATACGCAGTCATGAATGGGTTGATGTTATTTATACAATTATTACATTGCAGTAGTCTGAATAACAGTAAATCTTCTATTTTTTGTGAATAAAAATTCCAATTAGAAAGCAAGAGTAGTATCAGAGAGGGCCTGGAGACGTGACTGATGAATGAAGAAAATGTTATTTTAGAGCCAGGAATGTCTGTATTGTTCATTCTGGACCCTATGTTGAAATTGGCATATTTTTTAAATTTGTGTGAAATTGGCCAAATTGCCAATTTTTGACCACTTTATTGGGTAGTTGAAATCAGTAAATGGGCAGTTTCTTGTACTCAATGGATAGAACAAATGGAGTTCTAAAGAATTAGTTATGAGTTTGGTCGACTGGAACATTGGAATTAGCCGAAAATAGACCTCAAGGTGGCCGAAATCACCGATTCGTAAATATCGCCAAGGTTGCTAACTTCGCGAGAGCGTAATTCCCTAAGTTTTCCATCAAATTTCATACTTTTGGTGTCATTACCATCGGGAAAAGATTCTCTATCATTTCATAAGATTTTTTTTTCCCCACATATTTTGCGACACCAGGAGACACCTCAGGATTTGAAGTTTCGACAGACAAAGGGCTAGACATCCATTCGCTGCCCACTCCCCTTCTAGGCAAAATGCTACATATGATTGGGATCCCTCCCTTAGATCTGACTACATCTATGACTGACCTGTACTTATCCATCAGCTCCTGTCTCCTGCCCTTCCCAATGTCATTTCCACCAACACTATGACAGATAATGGGCTTGTTCCCAATGCCTGGCAATATTATCCAACCTGCTGACTACGTCACCAACACCAGCTCCTGGGAGGCACACCCTCTGTCTGACCTTTCTACCTCTGTTACAAAAAGCATAGTCCATATATGGTACCTTTAACCTTACTAACCACTGAAGTACACTTGCTCTGGAGAACGAAGAATCGATTTCCTACCTTCACATCTTCTCTATTAACCTTTCTTATCATCAGGTAATGGTCTTGGCATTTAGGTGTGGGATTGAAGTCAGTCCGACATGGGACAGGCGGGCGATCCGAAAATCACTGCACTGTAGAGGGAGAAGCCAGAAGCATGGTCAAAGAAGTGCAGTCAGATGTATCAAAGAAGTCAGGTGGAACCCTGGTACCTGGAGTGGGTGACAAAACAGCACCAGCAGGAGGTACAGGGGTATTAGAAATGTCCGAACAGTGGTCAAATAACGAGATAGGATCAGAACGTGTGGTAGCAGAAAGGGGCTTGGGAGGAGCTGGTTCATGGATTTGAGATTCCATGGTTATGTCACTTATTTCTTTTTGTTTTTTAGAAAAAAAAAGGAAAAAGAAAAAAGGGGGGCTGAACGATAGCTCCTAGGAGGAATGAAAGGGCCATAAATCCCCATCTGCACCCAAGAGGACCCCAGCACTGCAAGTAGTGCAGATGTGGCATGAAACCTGTGCCATACCCTACCCTTCATGCCAGTAAATCAGCAATCTGGGATAGCAACCTCACATCTACCAAGCCACCTCGGTGGATAAAAAGCATACCTCCTTCGGCCACTAACCCCCAGAATCCAAAAGGCAGCTTCCAGAGATACATCCATCACCCGAAAGACGACCCCAAGCCATCCCCCGGGGAGACCAGAGAGGGAGCAGGACATCCCCAGGTGATCCAGATTCCATGGCAAATTACACCACCATCACCACAGACCTGAAAAGAACAGGATGAACCACGGTACCCTTTCCCCTACCTAGGAACCAGAGTGCCTGTGGGAAGAATACCAAAGGCTGAAAACAGGAAGGGGATTGGGGAGGGATGGGGAGAGGAGGATGAAAAGGAAAAGGGAGGATGGGGAGGATGAGATAGGGAAGGGGGGATTAGGGGTAATTAGGTTCGGCCTGAGGAAGGAGACCAAAAGGTCTAATTCCTCAGACCAAAACCCTCTTCACCACACCAAGGAGTCCCCCCCTCTGAAGAGGAACCATTCATTAAGGCTTAATTCAGGGAACTGGAGCAAGAGCCCTTTACCAGCAGACAAGTTCAAAGCACTGAAAACATTCAGGACAAGGGATAAATTAAGATTTACACTAAAATTTATATATTTCAATGGCTTTTTGATAGCAATGTAGTATAAGTAGACATGAGTTCTTACTGCATTCTTTGTACAATTACAACCATAGGTTAATTTAGTAAATCAGTTCCATTATGTCAGAACATTTAACCCTTTCAGGGTCCAAGGCCCAAATCTGGAGTCACGCACCAGTGTCCAAGAATTTAAAAAAAAAAAATTTGTTATTTTTTCTTATGAAATTGTAGAGAATCTTTTTGTGAAGGTAATAAAACAAAAAGTACGAAATTTGGTGGAAAATTGACGAAATTATGCTCTTGCGAATTTTGATGTGTCAGCGATATTTACGAATCGGCGATTTTGCCGACTTTGACTCCCATTTTAGGCCAATTACATTATTCCAATCAACCAAATTCTTAGCTATTTCACTAGTATTACTTCTATTCTATCGATTGAGCACAAGAAATCGCCAAGTCAACTGTTTCAACTACAAAATAAAGTGATCGGAAATTGTAATTTGGCCAATTTTAACACAAAGTTCAAAATATTACCAATTTCAAATAGGGTCCAGAATAAACAATGTAGGCATTCCTGGCACTAAACTAACATTTCCTCTGTTCATTAGTTATGTTTTGAGGCTTTACAAATAAATTCCATTTTGATTTTTTATTCACATAATGAATTTTTATTCACACCAAAAAATAGAAGATTTACTGTTATGCAATACTGTAATAATTGTATAAATATCATCACCATATTTGTGAATGTATATTAGACCCACCAGCTGATGTGTATTAGACGTGAGAGGTCGTTTGTTTACTCTTGAATACCTCCCCTCAAGGAAGGTTCCTTGATGTTGGTGAGGGGCTCTTGATTTAGGGAATTGGATCTGTGCTCCAGTTCCCCGAATTAAGCCTGAATGCCTTCCACAACCCCCCCCCCCAGGCGCTGTATAATCCTCCGGGTTTAGCGCTTCCCCCTTGATTATAATAATAATAATAATTACTCTTGAATATCGGCAAAAATTTAACATTTCCGCTACTTTGAGCTCAGTTTCAAGCCATTTCCAGTGCTAAAACCAATCAAAATCATCTCTATTTCTTTAATATGTCTTCCATTCTATCAAATGAGACCAAGAAATCGCAAATACAACTATAAAAAACATACGAAAAAACACTGCAAAGTTGCTGTTTTAATCGAAAAATAATGATTTCAGTTTTTTTCTCTCATTATACACAGTGTACTGAAGGATCTGTTTTATGTGGTGCACACATACCACATAGATGTATTCTCTCATATCTAGGCCCAAATGTACCACTCACAGTTTATCAGAGTGAGCTGAGCTCATGGCGTAGATCTACGGTTTGGACACTCACCATAAAGCCGTAGATCTACGGGACAGACCCTGAAAGGGTTAAAATACGAGTATTTTGATGGTTCAGAATTACAAAGGTCATTCAGAGGTTAATGTTGCAACATTTAATGCAAAGAACCACAATAAATTGGTGAAAAACCTCATTTTCAAAATAACTCCTTAACATATATTAAGGTTTTTATTTTATTTTCTTTATACACTTAAATTTTGTTTTCATGACACTACACAGAAAAATAACTAAACTGAAGTTATATGTATAATTCAAGTAATCTCAACTACAGTGGACTCCCAGATTATGAAATTAATCTGTTCCAGAGAGAGTGACTTACCCTGAATCTGACTTATTTTAAATTAATTTTCCCCATAAGAAATAATGGAAATCTAATTAATCCGTTTCAGACACCCAAAACTATTAAAAAAATACTTTCTACATGAAATATACATTTACCTACACAGAAGACAATGATACATGAAGAATAAAACAATAATAACATAACACTTACCTTTATTGAAGACATGGTGATGTATGGAAGATGGGGGGAGGGGAGAGGATGGAGGAGTTTACAAATGTTTGGAAGGGGAATCCCCTTCCATAAAGACTTCAGGTACAAAGTCCTTATCCTGGGTTACTTCCCTTCTTTGTTTTTTAATGCCACTAGGACCAGCTTGAGTCACTGGACCCCTGTCACTCAAAAAAGTTTTCCAGAGAGGTCTGTGTCTGGCATATGTTAGGAATTGTGATGGGAGACAGGACAAGATAGTCATTCAATATGACACTAATATCAGCTCTATGGCTTATTTATCTAGCAAAATTCATCTAATGACATAATATAGCCCTATATACCTCCAACAACAATGGAGGAGTTAGTTTCGTGCTGTCCTTTTTCTATCGATTAATCTCTTAACTTACTTGCTACACTGTTGCTGTATAGCCCTTGTGGCTTAGTGCTTCTTTTTTATAATAATAATAATAATAATAATTGCTACACTGTTAATGCTATTTATCGCTGGCTGGCGCTATAGCCTTTATCAACTCCTACTGCTTTAGTATCGTACATATTGCAGAATCACTGAAAAGGGCACATTCTCCCCTCTCTCTCAGCCCTTTACCAAAGGGCTGGCTGGCACTAGAAGCTTTCTTTGGGCCCATGGTGGCTTATTTAGCAGTTACAAGCACTAAAAAGAATGGAATAATACAAAATGTATCATATGAACGCATGGGATTGTCCTCACTGGCTGGTAAACAATGGCACACTGGCTGTACATGGAATGTCGGGGCTGCTTAGGCCGCACAGACACGTTCCGGACAAATGACATATTGAGTTCAGTGACGTTCACCGAGCCAATATTTTGACGAAAAAACGTTACTTATTCCGATGACAACTTAATCCGGGGGTCCACTGTACTCAGTAATTTGGCAATAGCACATATATTGTTGTATTTAGTACAGACTAATGAGTACAGTAAAACATGTTTATTCTTGTTATGTCTTTAATCCTATAATGCGTCATTTTTCCTCATAATAGCTTATCGAACGTACATTTTTAAACTTCATTGTATATGTGGTTATTTTACCAACACCAACAGATGACTGGCTATAATTTTTCAGGAATTCACCTAAGAACTTTTGTAGTTATCAATATTTTTAATTTAATATAATTAGATAACATACCAAATACAAAACTAAGTTTTAAGGAAAAGTAACACAAACTTGCGTCTACACACTCAGGATTAATTCTGCTCATTCCTATATAATGTTTGTGACAAAACAAAAGCAAATATTAAACCAGACAGCATATTATAAGCATTTGAAACTCCATGTGAAACTTTCATGTGATACATATCTGAAATTTTGTGTTCTCTGAGGACTTTTCGTCAGTCTCATACAGAATCTTCCATAGACATTTCAGTAACCTTCAACCAATGGGTACCATTACTATTAGCTCATCAAGACCCCATTAGTCAAATTTGAGGCAATGTCTATGTTGTCCATCCAATTACTGGCCAGGTCAAGCAGTATTTAGCTTCATTGGCAACAGACATGCCAATTACAGCACCATACTCTGGGGTGACTATGAAACCATTTGTTATCTACCATTATATCTGTAAATCTGGCTTCCATTTATTACTGTTCATTTAAATCACTAATTAGGATGTCACCAAGCCCAACTATTAATAGAAATATTTTGCCATAACAGTAAGGCATATAGAAAATGAAGCTACATATAGGCACAAAGTGTATACAGGAAAAAATGGAGTGGTACTGGTCACGGAAGGAAGTTTTCATCGACATTCACGTTATGTCTTTGTGCAGACCATCACATCATTGTTATGGCTAGCCTGACTTGCTATTTTTTATGAACTCTTGTCCAGGACCAGTCTAAAACACACAGTAAATTATCTAATGTCAATAAATAATTACCAGCATGTACAGTACTAGTACATACACCAAAATGAGACAATTAGAAATCATGTTAAATTCTCACAATACTGACCCCTAATTCTATTTGACACAGTTCATAAAATTTTAATCATTTGCTCCAGATTGGATTGGCAACAGTCTTTCTCACACGCGTAACAGTTATTTTCTCTTCAAAACATTCTGATGCGCCATAAAAAGACAACAGTTCTTCAATGGCTCGGTCTTCCAACTGCAAAGCAAAGTCAAGGTATAAGTGGATCTATAGCACAAATAATAATCACAAGAGATTGCTTATCATTTCAAAAGTAATTATGCTTAACAATAATTTGCATGCAAATAATACACCATGTATGTAATCAATCATATAACAATATTATGCTTAAGCAACTCTTCCACTGATAAAATTATTAATAGCTATCTGACAATGCCATACCTGTATCACTGCCAAGGGTTTAAAACGTTCTTTAATCAAATTGTCGGAGTGGGTTTCTTCCTCAAGAAGGATGTCGGAAAAATGCGGAACTGTAGGAAGCTGAGTGGGGGATTGTGCAATATTTTTTTCCATGTGGCTGTGATCAGGAGAGGGATATTTGCAACCTCCAGGAGAAACTGTTGGTGAGGATGCCACCGCAGACCACATTCCACTACCTTCTCTTTCTATGTTTAACTGACTAACTGGCAGATCATCATCTTGGCCCCAACTGAAACTAATGTAAAAGATCATATAATGCTATCATTTGAAGCAAGTGATGGATTAGAAAGGAAGCAAAAGATATACACAGTTGACTGTCGATTATGACGGAAGTCAAGTTCTTGAAAATAGTGTTGATAAAATTGTCTTAAACAAATTGAAGTGCCTATGGGAAAAATAGGGTTACATTCCTTAGATCCTCCAAAATGGCAAGCAACTTTTTTTTAAGGTCTCTAAATTGTAAACAAATAGAAATGATAATATATCTCAACACCCAACTACAATTACGTGATGTTTAATGAGATTGCTGGTGTATGTCTATCATTGTGAACAGAGTGAAAAGGGATGCTGTGCCCTTACTGAGCAGAGGTGGATGGTTGTGGATTATTTGCTGAGGTGGATGGTTGTGTCTCTGGCACTAAACAATGATTTTACTGGGGTAGTGAGAAATTTTGTAATGTGTCTTGTCTTTTTTACCCTGCTGAACTTTATACAACTGACAGTAAGGCATCATCAGCTGCTTCAGACCTTTGTTTCATAGCTGTGCTGCTAGATTTGTCAGGTCCTCTTCAGTGATAAGTCTACTATTTTAGCAGCAACATGGAACTGCTCATGTATTATTATTATTATAATCAAAAAGAAGCGCTAAGCCACAAGGGCTATACAGCGCTGCAGGGTAGGGAAGGAAGCGAGGGTATTGGGCGGCAGAAGGGGAAAGGGATGATCAGTAGGTTACAGAAAACAGCGGGGCAGGGGATAGTGCGGGGGTAGAGGGTAGCAAGAGATTGAGGTAGAAAGGGCTGAAGGTATCAGTTTGTGAAGTCAGTCAGTTGTTGTCAAAAAGTCAATGAGAGAGTCCGGATGAAAGGTGGGTCCATCAGCAAGAAGGGAAGGTAAAGAGAGAGCAGCGGAGCGAAGACGACGACGGAGGTAAATTCTGAGTGTTCGTTGATAAAGTGGGCAGTCTAACAGAATGTAGCTGACAACTGCTCATGTAACTGTTACAATGTTAATTTTTTCTTCAGGTTCTTCCTTATCTTCCTGTTATCTGCCTCCCTTGTATCTTTGCACTGAGCTCTGCCAGCATTTCCTCTGGACTTTTTTGTCATCATCATCTAAGATTTTTTTTTTTATCATCACACTGGCCGATTCCCACCAAGGCAGGGTGGCCCGAAAAAGAAAATCTTTCACCATCATTCACTCCATCACTGTCTTGCTAGAAGGGTGCTTTACACTACAGTTTTTAAACTGCAACATTAACACCCCTCCTTCAGAGTGCAGGCACTGTACTTCCCATCTCAGGACTCAAGTCCGGCCTGCCGGTTTCCCTGAACCCTTCATAAATGTTACTTTGCTCACACTCCAACAGACGTAAAGTATTAAAAACCATTTGTCTCCATTCACTCCTATCAACACGCTCACGCATGCCTGCTGGAAGTCCAGCCCGTCGACACAAAACCTCCTTTACCCCCCCCCTCCAACCTTTCCTAGGCCGCCCCCTACCCCGCCTTCCTTTCCCACACAGACTGTTTACACTCTTGAAGTTTTTTCTGTTTCGCTCCATTCTCTCCACAGCCCGAACCAAACCTCAAACAACCCTTCCTCCCCCTCTGGACAACAGTTTTGGTAATCCCGCACCTCCTCCTAACTTCCAAACTACGAATTCTCTGCAATTATTCACACCACACATTGCTTTTCAGGGCATGACTTTTCCACTGCCTCCAGCCTTCTCCTCGCTGCAACATTCATCACCCATGCTTCACACCCATATAAGAGTGTTGGTAAAACATACTCTTATACATTCCCCTCTTTGCCTCCAAGGACAAAGTTCTTTGTCTCCCCAGACTCCTAAATGCACCACTCCCCTTTTCCCCTTATCAATTCTATGATTCACTTCATTTTTTCATAGACCCCTCCGCTGACACATCCACTCCCAAATTATCTGAATTACTTCACCTCCTCATACTCTCTCCCTCCAAATCTGATATCCAATCTTTCATCACCTAATCTTTTTGTTTTTCCTCATAACCTTACTCTTTCCTGTATTCACTTTCAATTTTCTTCTTTTGCACACCCTACCAATTCATCCACCAATCTCTGCAATTCTTTTTCAGAATCTCCCAGAGCACAGTGTCATCAGCAAAAAGCAACTGTGACAACTCCCACTTTATGTGTGATTCTTTATCTTTTACTCCTCAGCCTCTTGCCAAGGGCCCTGCATTTTACTTCTCTTACAACCCATCTTTTAAATATATTAAACAACCACGGTGACATCACACATCCTTGTCTGAGGCCTACTTTTACTGGGAAATTAATTTCCTCTTTCCTACCCTACTCTAACTTGAGCCTCACTATCATCGTAAAAAAACTCTTCACTGCTTTCAGTACCTACCTCCTACACCTACACCTGCAACATTTTGCCACATTGCCCCCCTATCCACCCCGTCATACGCCTTTTCCAAATCCATAAATGCAACAAAGACATCTTTAGCCTTATCTAAATACTGTTCAGTTATATGTTTCACTGTAAACACCTGGTCCACACACCCCTACCTTTCCTAAGCCTCCTTGTTCATCTGCTATCCTATTCTCCGTCTTATTCTTAATTCTTTCAATAATAACTCTACCATACACTTTGCCAGGTATTACTTAACAGACTTATCCCCCTATAATTTTTGCACTCTCTTTTATCCCTTTGCCTTATACAAAGGAACTATGCATTTCTCTCTGCCAATCCCTAGGTACCTTACCCTCTTCCATACATTTATTAAATAATTGCACCAACCACTCCAAAACTATATCCCACCTGCTTTTAACATTTCTATCTTTATATTTATATACCTGCTTTTAACATTTCTATCTTTATCCCATCAATCCCGGCTGCCTTACCCCCTTTCATTTTACCTACTGCCTCACGAACTTCTCCCACACTCACAACTGGCTCTTCCTCACTCCTACAAGATGTTGTTCCTCCTTGCCCTATACACGAAATCACGCTTCCCTATCTTCATCAACATTTAACAACATCTAAGAGTGTGTTGAAAATGGTTTATAAAATACTGATAACCTGTTTGATTAAGACACATGTGCAACAAACTGGGTATCTTTATTGTGAAATGTTTTGCCTACACAGTAGGCTACTTCAGTCAAATAAGGCAGCAGGTGTAGTAGTAAAAATGATGTAATCAGTTAATCAACCCTAGAGATATGAGGTGGTCAATCCCTCAGCCTGGAGAAAAGTTCATCTCCATGGTCTGGAATGATTTGAAGCGGGAAGCAAGACAATGGAATCTTAAATACTGTTGAAGGTGAGGTGGAAGATCTTCAAGATTTTTGCAAGGGACAGGATTCACTAGTAAAAGTAAGAAAGGGGGGGTCCCTCTTAAAATCCAACCTTTCTCACTCATAACTAGTAATATGGGCCCTGCCATATATGTTTTTTGGTAAATATTTTTTTTTCTCGGTTGTTTGTTGGGCTATCTCATTGAAACTTGGGCAATGTATGATGGAAAGATGCTTCTTAACGTACAACAAAAACAAAAAAGACGGACGTTAAATAAGGAGTTAACTTCTCACCCATTAGCTCCCTCTTTGCAGTATATTTTTGTATGGTTTTTATGGTTGTATTCTATTTTTTTCAAACTCATTTGATAGAATGGAAGATATATTACAGAAATAGACATGATTTGAGTGCTTTCATGCGAAAGTACCTTGAAATTGAGCTCAAAGTAGCGGAAATGTTCAATTTTTGCCGTGTTCAATGAACTGTGTAAGTTGGTTAGTTTTATTTATGTGTATTCTAACCTACCACTCTGTAATTCGGCCAAACTCAGTAATCCGGCACACTACAGGTCCCAATGATGCCGGATTTGTGAAGGAGGTGTTGTACATTTTATGTGTTTGTGCGAGTTAAGTGTAAGTAGAAGTAGCAAGATGTACCTGAAATCTTGCATGTTAAGAGACAGAAAAAAGGACACCGCAAACCTACAATCATGTTTAAAACAATTACAGGCTTCATTTTACACTCATTGGCAGAATGGTAGTATTTCCTGGGGGGGTTGCTGTCTACCAACCTACTACCTAATAATAAATCTATCTTACCAAAAAAAAAAAAAAAAAAAAGTGAGGCCTTCATTTTTTTTTTCAAACAAGTCGGTCGTCTCCCACCGAGGCAGGGTGACCCAAAAAAAGAAAGAAAATCCCCAAAAGGAAATACTTTCATCATCATTCAACATTTTTCCCCACTCACACATTATCACTGTTTTTGCATAGGTGCTCAGAATACAACAGTTTAGAAGCATACACATATAAAGATACACAACATATCCCTCCAAACTGCCAATATCCCAAACCCCTCCTTTAAAGTGCAGGCATTGTACTTCCCCATTTCCAGGACTCAAGTCGGCTATATGAAAAACCGGTTTCCCCGAAACCCTTCACTAAATATTACCTGCTCACACTCCAACAGATCGTCAGGTCCCAAGTACCATTCGTCTCCATTCACTCCTATCTAACACGCTCACGCACGCTTGCTGGAAGTCCAAGCCCTTGCCCACAAAACTCCTTTACCCCCTCTCTCCAACCCTTTCGAGAACGACCCCTACCCGCCTTCCCTTTCCCCCTATAGATTTACATATATGCTTTCCATGTCATTCTACTTTGATCCATTCTCTCTAATGACCAAACCACCTCAACAACCCTCTTCTGCCCTCTGACTAATACTCTTATTAACTCCAACCTTTTCCTTTTTCCCACACTCCGAATTTTGCATAATATTTACACCACACATTGCCCTTAAACAGGACATCTCCACTGCCCCCAACCATCTCCTCGCTGCTTGCATTTACCACCCAAGCTTCACACCCATATAAGAGGTTGGTATACTGTACTTTCATAACATTCCCTTCTTTGCCTCCATAGATTAACATTTTTTTGACTCCACATATACCTCAACGCACCAACTCCCCTTTTTTCCTCATCAATTCTATGTTTTGCCTCATCCTTCTAAATCCACCC